CCCTGGCTGTGAACAAAAATAAAATGCTTTACAGGGAGGGGAATTTTCACAGCTTCAGGCAGATGTCTGAAGGCACCTCGGGCTTTCCAAGTGGACAGTATCCTGGAGGCTTGGAGGAGGCAGCTGGCTGGAGTGGTCCACACCACTCGGTGCAAGGCCTGGTTTCTATTTAGAAAAGAATTTTAGTTAGTTTTTAAAAAATGCCTGAGTTACCGAACTGTGTGCCCTATTTGATTCTGCTTTTTTTATTTTAGTCCATGTATGCACGTACGCATATACGGGTAAAGATTGGTGAGGGGGGCTCCTAGGGGGTGCGGTTGGTGCAGGGGAGAGCCCAAGTGTCATCAGCTGTTATCTGCAGACTTCGATAACAATAGGTTTCTAGGCGGTTTTTAAGTTTTGACCTCTAAGTGTTCTATAATGAATGGAGAAGAGTTAAAATTCAGGGTCTTCCTGTTCATGCAGGAACTGCTGTTTCCAGTCCCTGCCCCGCCCTGGGTGTATGGACTGGGCTGGGGAGAGCACCTTGGAAGAAGAGCCCTAGAGGTCACCTTCTCCAGTTCCACCATTCGACACGTGGAAAGACTGAGGCCCAGAGACAGAAGGGACTTGCCCACGGGCTCCCAGCCAGGACCCGAGCCCACGCAGGTGGTCTCTGGCTTCTGACTCCTTCCTCCCCTGCTCTAGCTGGGGAGTTACATCCTGGGCACCTGCCGCAGCCCCAGTGTGTAGGCCTCAGTGAATGTCATGGGGTTTCGGTTTGGGTTTTGTGTTTTTAGAGAAAACTCACACGAGACGCTTTGCTGAGTGCTTTAATGGAGTTCTGACTCCAAGTTGGAAACCACAGGGAGAGGCCAATTCCTAGCAATCCGGAAAGGCCTCGGCTTCAGATGGCCAGGTTTGAGCCGGTCTTTGACTAATAAAAAGTTGTAATCATTTATTGAACACCTGCTGTATGCCTCACATTGTGCTGCGTCTTAGAGATGGGTAAAACAGCCCCTGCTGTTGAGGAGTGGGGTGAGGGCAGTGTCATGTTGATGGATGTGTGTGGGGAGGTCCCTTGGATTGGGTTTTATGTGCAAGAATTATTTCTTAACCCTTTTGTCACCCTGTAACACTGGTTGCTGCTTTCATTCTGTTCTTTGCCCTTTTCTGCTCTTTTGAAAGTTTTCCATTAGGAGCACATGTTCACTTCAAAATCAAAGAATAGCAGTGACTGTCATACTTTAGGACACAGAGTTAAGCACGGCAGAGCTACTTAATTTTGCAGCTGGAAGAGCCTTTAAAGGATAAGGATAAGTTATCTCCTCAGCTTCCTGATGTTTGAGTCACCATTAACATGAGCTTCCTTTCATTGGAGGATAGCAAAAGTCCATCCTCCACCCAGATGTCAGTGAATTATACTATCCATTTACTAGAACCATGGTTATTATTCCAGCCCTGATACTCAAAGGACCATGGGCTCACTCCTGATTTCATAGGAAAATGAGATCTTGGCTTGAGGGAGCCTAGTAAGTCATGAGCCCAGGTTCAAGTTTTCATTTAAGAGGTTCTTAAAAAATTGGTAAGATATCTATATGTCATATCCTTAACATATAAAGAGCTCTTATATATCACTAAGGAAAAAAGTCAAATAACTAAATAGCAAAGGACATGAATGATTTGCCATTTGTTTTACTAAATGGCCAGTGTAAACCATTTCAAAAGGTTAGTGATCCAAAAGATTAGGTCAAAATACCAGAGATCAAAGAGATATGATTTTGTATCTACTAAGTTAGCAAACACGGATGTAATGCCCTGTTAATTAAATTGGTTGAATAATATTAGGTTCATTGAAAAATCATGTTTTCTTTGGCCATTTAATGAGAGGGGGACAAGTGCTTATGACATTATTTAACAAAATACAGTGACTAATGTTCTTTTTACTTTGCTATGTTTTATAATAGGCAAGTGTTTTATATTAAACGTTAAATGCTAATTTAAAGAACTGAGTTGCTGAAGCTTTCCAGATCTTTCTTTAAAAACAAAGCATAGTTTCTGAGCTGAAGGCTGAGGAAGAGTAGATGTGGACTCTAAGGAGGACAGATAGAAAAAGGCCACCTTCAGCCTGCTCTCCATATAGATATTTGTTTTCTTGTCTGTAAATTAGGGGTTCTTGTGTCTGCCTCAGAAGGCCACCTGGGGGTTCAGGGAGAGATGGTGTGAAAATACCCTGCTCGTTTCTGAGCATCAGGCCAGATGGCCCCCACCATCCACCCCGCCCAGGGTTGGTCCATCCACTCCATCCTTCTCACGCTGTTGTCAGGAGCTCCATCATCTTCTACATCCTCACCCTGAGAACAAGTCAGTGCCACATTTGCCGAATAAAACGTTCAGTCAGGGCAAGAGGGGGTTTTGGTTTTCCCAGACGTATCGCCTACACTCACCCGCCTTTCTGATCATTGTCGATAGTCCAGTCACCATGCTTGACTGGTGACTTCAACAAAGATGTGAATAACTGGAGAAAGGTGACATCCTGGGAGGGTGCCTCTGTTTGGGAAAGGTGTCAGTTCTCCTCCAAATTTATATATATATATATATAAAGATCTCTTTTCTTTTGGTAGGAAGGTGACTTTTATAAACAATAGGAAGTTTTTTGGGGGGGTAAGTAAGTAAAAATAAACAAGGAAACTTCCACTAAAGAATTGACGGAGATAATAAAATACATTGTACAACTCTGATCATTAGAATGGACAGAATTATGACAGAATTTTAAATATTATATATTTTTTATTTTTGGCTGCATTGGGTCTTCGTTGCTGCACACGGGCTTTCTCTAGTTGCGGCGAGTGGGGGCCACTCTTCATTGCGGTGCACGGGCTACTCATTGTGGTGGCTTCTCTTATTGCTGAGCACAGGCTCTAGGCGACACGGGCTTCAGTATCTGCGGCACACGGGCTTCAGTAGTTGTGGCACACGGGCTCAGTAGTTGTGGCGCATGGGCTTAGTTGCTCCGCGGCATGTGGGATCTTCCTGGACCAGGGCTCGAGCTCGTGTCCCCTGCATTGGCAGGCGGATTCTTAACCACTGCGCCACCAGGGAAGTCCAGGACAGAATTTTAAAAGCTCAGAAACAGACCCATGCCTGTGTAAGAATTTATGTCTCTTATTTCAAATGAGTGGGAAAAATTGTACTGAGCCAACTGACAGAGGAGTAAAATCCGTATTCTTGACCAAAATAAGTTCCTGAAGGATTAAAGAGTTAAACGTAAAACCGATCTCTGAAAGAACTTGAAGAAAATATAGGAGGATGTTTACCTCACCCTCTATTAAAAAAAAAAAAAAAAACTTTTCTGCTTCTGCTGCTGGGGAGTAATCGTTGGCTGTAAATCATGAAAAGTTGCATTTTCACAGAACCACCAACCACAAACAAACAATGCAGCTAATGGATAACCTGGCATGGATAACCCCAGGCGACCCTCATACTGGATAGTCCTGGGGCAGGGGCTTGGCCTGGCTAGGTGTGGCTTCTCCTCCAAGCTGAGGAGGTGGGAACAGGAAGACCTGATCCTGGTGTTTTGGGGTGTTCGTAACACATTACAGGATAGTTGGCAGAATCTCTTTACAGGGAGTGTTGCTTTTCTGTACGCTGAATCATTTTGAAAGGTTGGGCCGGAGTAGCCATCCCCATCCCACCCTGTTTTTTACCTGAGGTCTGTTAAGACAGCCACTGTGGGCCTGCTGAATCCTCTTTGCTTCCACATTACCAGCTTTCCGGGCTTACAAAACATAGCCCATCCCATTGCTTAATCCTCCCCAACCCTTATGAGCAGGCAGGACCACAGTGACAGGAAACGAGTGCAGAAGGGCAGAAGGGCTTGCCATCGTCGTCCCTTGCTAGTACAGGCAACAGTGCTTGAACCCCAATGTATTGATTCCCAGGGCTGTTTTCTTGCTGCATGCAGTGTGTTTGGGAGATTCACATATTCCCTTATTCCCTTCCACCCAAGTTGAAAGTTACGAGTTCTGGGTCCTGTTTTCTGGCTGAGGAAGGGACAAGAGAAGTGATTCCTTCAAGGTGTTGATGGCAGGCTGCATTCGTTTCGTTTCCTGACCCCAAGGGGCTCGCTCTCATCTCAGAGAACCCGTCAGACCCCTGGGAGATGATTGGTGATGCAGTTTCAGAGGCTCAGTCCTGGTGGGGTGTGGGAACCTTCAAGGCTGGAGGCGGGCTTCCTGCACGAGGAGCCCCTGGGAGGTGTAGAGTCGGTGGGGAGAAGCAGGGCCCAGGTGGGCCAGTCAGGTCTGGGGCTTCCTGATCAGCCTCACCCTCCCATGTGAGCACAGGGCCAGGCACAGACATGCCGGCCACGTGAACAGGTGGGACACAGATTGTCTGGAAGGAGGCCAGGCTGGGAAGAGCAACGTCTGTTCACCCCGGGAGGCATTTGTTGAGGCAGATGTACCAGGTAAATGCCAGAATAGCAGCATTTAAAAGGAAAAGTAACGACAGTCTCCCCATCATGCGGCCTACCTCATCTACAGCACCCAGGACCCAGACGGTGCCAAAAACATGCCTGTCTGCCCCCACCGTCTCTGGGGACGTTTCCCAGCTGGGCTGTCTGTTTATTCATTAAGTCGTGGGTATTTATTGATCTTCTCCTCTGTGCAACATGCCAGCCTCTTGGAGAGGGCACAGGCATTTATGAAGCACCTCGCCTGCCCTGAAGGAGCTTCATAAAGCAGCCAAGGGGGAAGCCAGGGCATCCTTGGTTAATAACAGCTACTGTTGCTTGGCAGGGTGTGTGCACGTGGTGGGCATTGTCCTTCCATTTCAGAGATGAGGAAATGGAGGCTCAGAGAGTTCATCCCTCACCCACTGAGTGACACATCTGGGAAGGTGGTGTTTGCGGCGGGGGAGTCTGTGGAGGACGTGGGTAGACGGCGGTGAGGTGGGGGTGGGAACTCCCCATCTCTCGATGTGGGTGCAGCCTCTCACTTCCCACCTTCTCTTCCCCACAGAGCGCAGCCGCCGCCCCGAGCCCGGTGCTTGGCAACATTCCCCCCAACGATGGGATGCCGGGAGGCCCCATCCCACCAGGTTTCTTTCAGGTACGTGCTGGGCCCTCTGTCCTTTGCTCCTTTCACTCCAGGCCAGGCCCCGGGCAGGCGGGAGGGAGGGAGAGAGAGAGAAGTAAGTGGTAGCTCAGTTTGCCATGGTCTAAATACAGTTGCTTTATGCTGGTTCAGACCCTCCCCATCCCGTCCCTCTCCACCCCTTGCAAAAACCGAGGAGGGGAGAAAAGAAAGATGGAGAGCAGACACCCTCCTGCATGTGCTCTGTCACTTCTGCCGGAGTTTGTTTTCTTCACACCAGCTTCGCACTCACGACACAGCCCGCCCCTGGTCGGGGCGGCGGCGGGCTGCTTCCAAGTCCGTGTAGAGCTGTCTTTTAACAAAAGGCTTTTTTTTTCTTTTTTAAACAAGTAAACTGTTCTTTGTTTCTGTTTTGTTGCTGCTGTCGTTGTCATTGTTTACTTTGCCTGTCCAAACTACAAACCTTAGGCGTAATCTAAAAAAAAAAACAAAAAACCCACCATCCTGGCAGGTCTGGGAATCCTTTCCCTCTGGTTAACCACTTGATTTTTTCCAAGTGTGATCACAGACGGCGTCCCACAAGCATCTGTGCCCGTGCTCTGCCCGCCAAGGCAGGAGCAGCTCTCATGTGGGTTGAGAGCCTGGTCTTCTCTGAAAGACACCTTGTTGGGCTGTCTGGGTGCGGGGTGTGGGGAGGTGGCTTTCTGATTTGCTGGGGTGGGTGCACCTGCCTCACCCTCACCCTGCCTCCTCCTCCATCTCCGCTGTCCCCTCCGGGAACTCCTTGGATTTAAACCAGACTGAGACTGGGAAAGGCCGTCAGAGGGAGATCGGTGTCTGGGGCTGGAAGGAACTTTTATGATGAAGCTCTTGAGTGTGACATTCTTTCCAACCTGTCTCCAGCCGGGTTTGAGAATCTGCCTGAGTTCCCCACACCTTTTGAAAGGTTAGCTCCTCCAGATAAGAATATGGAAAGAGCTGTTGTCTAGAAGAGAAGGCAGAGATTTCTCTGTGTAGCTCATGAATTCAAAACTGGGACCAGTGAGGCAAAGTCTGAGGAGCCTTTGGCTTGGTGACAGCCAGAATTTCACGCTGTGTGCATCTTGCTGTAAGCCGTGGGCCGCAGGAGGCAGGGGCTCCCTGGCACTGGAGGTATCTTAGCAAAAATGGGACAGACACCTCTTGGGGATTTTAACGTGACCTCCTCCCAGGATGAGAGGTGACCTGGAAGACACTTCTGCTTTGCAAGGTCTCACGTCATGGTTGATGTTAACTCCCAGGAGAGGAGGGTTAGGACATGCTGCTTACCAGCCAGGAAAGGGAATCAGTGAAATATGGGTGTTCTCCAACAGAAACAGCAGGTCGCCTACCAAGATGGCGGTGAGAGGAGTGAGAGGGATTTAGGGATGGAAACTCCAGACATTGGATGACCATGCATGTGTCTATATGCATTCCTAGCATATGGTCCACACTGGGACCTTGTCCCAGGGATGGAAATGGGTGTATAGGCTTCAGGTTGGACCAGACCAGGCCTTGCCTCGGGTGAGGCTTGGGGTAAGGCCACAGACATTGGGAAGAGGGGCCAGACTTCCAAGAGAGAGTGAGACGTTCAGAGCCTTGGAAACCCATGAACCCAAGAAGGACAGGAGCCTGACAGGCTTCTCCCTTTCCCCCAGAGGAGAAACCCAAGGGGCTACTGACTGAGAGGGTCATCCATGCCAAGGGGCAGCCGTCTTCCTGGCCACCGCAGACTGGTGTTCTGCACCCCGCTGGTGGTCTTTCCCATGGTGTTCTCTCTGGTTGGGACTTCTTTCCCAGGCTCACATATCCTCACCAATGATGCCATGGCTGCCCTTCATACAGTGCGGATGTGGCTTTCCTGCCTAGTGGGCAGAGCTCACCCAGGTACCAGGCTCCACCTGTGTGCATCCCTCTTGAGGCTGCTTGCTGGCATCTGGGTGCCCAGTGCAGGCCACTGTAGCAGGAGAGGTGGACACCAGCCAGCTGTATTTTTTTTAAATAGGCCATCGTCTTCTTCTTTGGCCTGAGTCTGGGGCAAGGAGAGGTCTGCCTGATATGTGGGCAGCTCCCAACTTCCTGCTTTGGTACAATTGTCCATGGTTAAAGGCCTAATTCCAGACATACTTCTTAGGCCCTCCCATGCGACGTTCAGGGGTGTGTGGTCAGAAAGCCCAGACTGATTCCTGTCCTTATTTAGCCACTACCAGCTACCATCAAACAGAAGTAACTTTCGGATCCACCCCCCCGGTTTTTTTTTTTTTTTTTTTTTTTTTTTTCCGCCCCCCCCGGCCCGGGAGCCTCTCACTGTCGTGGCCTCTCCCGCTGCGGAGCACTTTGCACCAGTATAATGGTGCTTTGAATTTTTTTTTTTTTTTTTTTAATATCTATTTGGCTGTGTCGGGTCTCAGTTGCAGCACGTGGGATCTTCGTTGCAGCATGCAGGATCTTCCCTTGCGGCGTGCGGGCTCATCGCTGTGGGGCATGGACTTCTCTAGTTGTGGTGCGCGGGCTCCAGAGCATGTGGGCTCAGTGGTTACGGCATGCACAGGCTCTCTAGTTGTGGCTCACAGGCTCAGTAGTTGTGGCGCACGGGCTTAGTTGCCCTGTGGCATGTGGGTTCTTAGTTCCCTGACCAGGGATCAAACCTGCATCCCCTGCATCAGAAGGCAGATTCTTAACCACTGGACCGCCAGGGGAGTTCCTGGACCCACCCTCTTGACTTGAGGTCTTCTCTTGATCCCCAGTCAGGGTGAACCATCAAGAGCTTGCTGGATCATTGAGCAGGGGGCTGTGTCCCAGCCTCTCTGCTTCCTGGGTGACTTTGGCCAGACCCCTACCCCTACTCCCACCCCAAGGGGCATCATTTCTCCATCAGTCAGATGAAGGTGGGCGAGGTCCTTCCTGGTCAGGGTGCTGAACTGCTCAGGCTGGGTCACTGTTGCGGGGAAAAGGATATCTCTCTGGAAGGAGGTAGTGGCTGCCCGTTTCCGGAGCAGGCCGGCTCCCAACAGGAGTATTAGCTATTGATTGCCGGCCCTGACCCTCGCGCACCTTGCAGGCAGCCACTCTGATATTAGAAGGGAAATAGAGATGGTATCGAGGGTTTTATCTCCTGCCAACGATTGCATTTCTTCCCCTACTTGGTCACAGCCTGGCAGGCAGCTCTGCTGCAGGAGGGGCTTTGCACCAAGGAGCCCGCGTGGCTTGGCTGATCCAGCTTTGGCCAAACCCTGTCCCAAGGTGGCCAGCCTGGTTTTCTGGTCAGGATTCCAGCCCTAGTTGGTGCTAAATTTAGTTGAGGACTCCAAGGTGGGTGTGAGGGAGGGACCAGCTTTTCACCCCCACTCCTGGCCCCTTAGAAAGCAACACAGAGGACTTACTGCCTCAGGCCTCTGACTGCCAGGCTGCAAGGCTCCACTTGGGGTCAGAAGGTTTGGCCACCTTCACATTAGGTCCCATCTGTTTGCTCTTCCTTATTCGGTGTTGGGGTTTCCGAGGCGGACAGTGCCCGTGGTCCTGTGGCATGAGGTGTGTTTGATAGCAAGCTGAGGGCTGACGGGGAGATGTTTTGGGACCTGACCTGGCCACACCTCACTATTGGGGAATATTGTGGGGTTCTACGGGTCATGGGAGACCATAGCAAGGACATTCTAATTCTTTGTGTTCCTTACAAAAAGACCGCCTCAACCTTGGCATCCCCAGCACCTGGTGGGCACTGGGGACCCAGGAAATGTTTGAACTGAGTTTGTATTGCTCGTGTTACTAGGAGTGGAGCCCATCCGGCCCCCAAGCTCTAGGTCCAGCATTCTGACCAGGCTAGGCGGGTCCAGGGGTGGTGGTGTGGAGAGTCGGGAAGGACTTGGAGTTCTGGAGCCCGAGGACACGTGTTCTAGCCCCCTGCTTGTCCATGTGCTTGCTGAGTGACCTTGGGCAAGTTGCTCCCCATCTCTGGGCCCCAGTTTCTTCAGCAGTAGACAAAGCAGGGTGGACCAGATGGTCTCTGAGGGCCCTTCCCACTTGGATTTTCTGCTTTGGATCCAGATGGATTTTACATAATCAAGCAGTGGCATTTTTTTTTTCACGCAGCTGAAGTCAGTTGGGCTGCACATCTGGCAAACTCAGCTTGGCTTTGGCCAGGCCTACTGGTGTGGGTGGGTCCCCAGCTCCTTGGCCCTAAGGTGGTTTGAAGGGAGGCGCCATCCAATGAGGATTTCTAGGTTCAGAGCTGGAGAACTGCAGGAGGGCAGGGGGTCACGGAGAAGGGAGCATTGGGTACAGGCTGTTTTTGTTCTTGTTTTGTTTTAAATTCCAATCATTGTTTTCAGTTATGAAGTGTTTTTGGACATGCAGCCTGCTTTCATTCTGATCACAGCGTTTCTGCAGAGGAGGCATGGCTGATTGGGAAAGTGAGACCCAGAAAGGTGAATGACCTGCCCAAAGTTATCAACCGAGGGCTGGAATCAGAGCCTAAACCCAGCTTCCTGGTTCCTGATCCTCGTGTTCTTCCACAGCAGTCAGGGTCCTAATGTAGATACATGTCTGATTGTCTAGGAGAAGAAGAGAGAATAGAGAACAAGAGAAAAGGAGGGGAAAGTAATGGAAGGAGAAGGAGAAACTCTAGCCATCTTCTCTCAAAAGGAGCCAATGTTTCCATTCAAATGCCAGCAGAAGTCATAAGTCTACAGACTGTGCCTCCTCTGGAAAAGACAGCCCTGGGGGACCCAGCTCCCTTTGCCGAGCCCAGCCCCTCCTGCTCTGAACATGCCCAGAGACTTTCCGCCACGGTGGGGGACATGTAGGGCTTGACATGTCCCCTGTTCCAGTGAGTCCTCGTCTCTGCTGGGCCAGCCCACCCACCTTTGAAGGAGGTTGAGGTCCGTCCCAGAGAACCCCTCCCCGTCAGTTACAGGGGGAGAGAGGAGAAGAAACAAATGATGTGTAATAGCCCAGGAAGCAGAGAAGTGATCCAGAAATAAGGGGGAGAGAGGTACACA